ACTGAAAAGGATCTAAAAATCCTTTAAAGACAGACACGATAAACCAAAACAGTTAAACTAAGTTTGGATACAAAAGAAATTATTGAGTTCTTCCCAATAATCTAATTTGGGGTTTGAAGGTAAATATAGTGAAGAATTTAATGAAATTCTTATTTTTAGTGAACACTGTACTGATTTTGAAATATAGTTGCTATTAATAACTAATACTTGTGATGATTCAGTTTACTTTTTCCTTGTTGATAACCATATTTCAATAAAGCAAGTTTATTATGCATTTTTAAAAATTGGGAAAGGAAGTAGAGTATGACTGTGGGTTGGCTGTGAACGTGATTTCAGTAATGGCCGCTAGCCTGGTTACATGTCTTTTCCAGCAAGTAGGGGAAGATATACAGCTGCATTCAATAACGGTTGGAGATTACTTAAGGGAGAGCAATAGACGTAGGTGCCAGGAGTATTAGGACTATGATACTTATGAACCTTGGAATCTAAAATGGATCAAGATAGAAGGGAAAGGAAGTGGGAGCTGATAATAGTGAGAAAGTGGCAAAGTGAGAAAGTGGTGGTGCTGAAGATAGCTAAGTGAGTAAACCAAAGGGGCTAGGCGCATAGGAGACAGTGGGAAGAGAGGGGAAAACTTCAAAATGAAAATTTGTAAGTGGTGAAGTTTCTAGTGATAAGAAAGCCTAAATCCAGGCACTCACCTCTAATTCTAGCTACTCAGGAGGCTGAGGCAGGAGGATCCCAAGTTCAAGGTCAATGTGGGCAATTTAGTCAGACCCTACTTCAAAATAAAATTTAAAAAGGGCTGGGGATATAGTGATAAAGCATGCATGGGTTCAATTCCCCCCAGCCCCAGGGGAAAAAAAATAACAACAACCCAGAAAGTGATCATGGGAGTAAGAATTGAGAGGAGGAAGAAAATGTTGCTGGAAATAGGCAGTTTAAGGAAAGGAGGGTCTTAGGCACATTTAAGATCAGCTATTAGAAGAGAATATACATACACAACACATCCACAAAGATAGCTCGCCTGCATAAATTGTAAGGTCACTCAAAAATGACAACAGGAAAAGGGATAAAGAGAAAACCTGGGAGCTTGAAGCTATGTCACCAATGAATAGGAGAGAAGGTGACTAGGTAGTCAGTAGACATCAGCAAGGGAGGGAGAGTTACAGATAACTTGTGTGACCTTCAAAAAGGTGCGTTTTGTAAGACACAGTGGGAGAAATGGTGCAGAGGAATCACTGGGGAACCAGAAGGAAACCACTCTATGAGCTGATGCTAAGGAATGTGAAGCTCTGAAATTATAGTTATTTCACTCTCCAATGAAAACAGTATAATTCAGAGACAGACTTCATGAAATATAAGTAATAAAATGAATTTAAAGGCCACTGACCAGGTATTAGAAGCCATGCATTCTGGCCTCAGGTCTGCCACCGACTACTTCTGTGATACACTTAAGTGAGTCTCAGTGTCTATATCTACAAAAAGGGAAATCTTCCTTATCTACCCAATCCTGCCTATCTCATAGAGATATTTCAGAGTTAACCATAAAACTATAGAACCAACATAAAGCTTATAGCATGATGCTTTTCTAATTTCTTTTACCATATTAATTACCCAT